GGACTTGAGCACCTCGCCAGGCCCCTGGTCAGATGGTCTGCCCCTGCCCTGTCCCACCCATGTCACCTGACCTCATCTCCCATCACCTGGCCCTAAGGCAGGGCCTCTGCACGTGCTATTCCTCCAGCTCCCACAGCCTGCCTCCTTCTTATCCCTGAGTCCAATGGGATGGACCTCCTGCCCTGCCAGGTGCTCACCCCACCCGTCACCCCACCACTGCCCGATGAATCTCAATCGAGGCATCTTCTTGCAGCACAGTGCTTATCACAACCTCTGATTTTTTATTCATTCATTTGAAGTTTGGAGAGTGTCTTCTGCCTGGCACACAGTGGCGTATTGCCCTCTATCTCAGGGATGTAAATAGCTGAGGCTCAGAGGGGTAATAAGAGGTGCTCAAGGCCACCCAGCCAGATGGGGTGTCCAGCTGCCTTGCTCAGCTCCCCAAGTTACCAATTAAACAAGTGATTGCACAAACAGAAATCTTGTAACAGATAGTAACAAGAAATCTTGTAAACAGAAATTTCTGAATCAGAAATCTTGTAAATTGCCTCTTCCCCATTAAAATGTAAGCTCTACAGATTCAAGAATGACGCCTGTGCCACAAACACTGCCTAGCATGCAGGCACAGTAATATAATAACTGTGGGTGCTGAATAAAGTGTTGATGAAGTACTCTCAAGGTATTTATCATAGTATCCTTAGGAACCTGTGATTCTGGAAAAGTCCTCATCCCCTGCCAGAGGTTCTTAACTCCATGGGCCCAACCACACCACTCCCTACCCCGCTCCCCACCAGGGGCACCTCAGATGCTCCCCATTCACCTGCCGGCTCTGCTTGCCGCCCCTGCTCTCAGCAAGGCCCCTGACCTCGGCATGCCCCCAAGAGAGGTTGAAGGGGTGAGCCAGGGCCAGGTGGGCAGCCAGCTCACCCTTCCCCAGCCATAGAGAAGAGGAGACCACCACCTGGGGAAAGGGACAGCCTGAGCCAGGACCCTGTCCAGAGTGACCTCCCCTGCAACCTGCACAGACAGCCTTCTCCATCAGGGTCAAGGCTGTGAGGGCAGGTGGCTCTCAGCACCAAACCCCAGTATTGTGCAACACCCCCTCCCCTGGAGAGCATCAGCCCATTTTACAGAGGAGGACATTGAGGCTCAGAGAAGAGCAGACAGAACAAGCACGGACAGAGATAGAACAGCAGGTGACACACAGCCTGCATCTCTGTCACTAGACCTGTGTGCTTCAATTTCACTATCTGAAAACAGGGCATGTAATAGCACTGCACAGACAGGAGGCTGGCATGAGGGTCACTGCACAGGGCCTGGCTCACGATAAACACTGTTATTATATTACTGTGACTGTCAATGTGTTTTTGGAGCTCAAATCTCCAGCCACTGACCCAATGCCTTTCCCACAGGCTGTCAGGGACCCGGGGCAACTGGACTAACTGGGCCCCACTCAGACGATAGGGTACAGTCAGCTCTGTCCACAGACAGGATCTCCTTTGGGACACCTACCTGGTCCCTGCCGTCCCAGCTGACAACAAGGTGGTGCCGGTGTCTGCCTCCTGAGTGCTCTGAGGACAGGCAGAGGGTGCAGTGTTGTGGCAGGGTCAAGGGCAGCAGGTGAGTGAGCTCCACTGTGTAGGTGGGGACACATAGGGGGTGGAGTGTGAGCTGGGGTCTTCAGCTAGGGGCTCAGGGGAATCTCAGCTGATGTCACCACACACTTAGGCAGGTGGCCACTTAGTGGCCACATGCTCAGGCAATTCTCACAAAATTCAGCAGCTACATGCTCACTTTGTCACCCTATCCCTTGACATACACCCTGAACTATCCCTGTGCTGTGGGAGCCCCTTGTGGCAGTCAGACTGCAGCAAGAGGTGACATCTGTCTTCCTGGCTTTGTACCTGGGCTGGCCTTGTGATGCCCTAACAGAATTCAGGAGCTGACAGAGTGCCACCGCCAAGCCTCAGCCCTAAGAGGGCTCACTTCTGCAGCCCGGTTGTTTAGGCCTCAGCTGTCCCAGAGCAGGTGACAGCCAGACCACCCACAGCACACAGGAGCCCAGCCACACCAGCAGAGCCACCCACCCCCCTACACTAACCTTCACATACAGGACTACTGGCAGAGTGGCCCAGCTGACCCAGCCTCGTGAGCAATGATAAATGCTTGTTTTAAGCCACCGGGCTTCAGGGCACTTTGTTACCATCCTAAAGCAAGAGCTGACAGCTGCAGCCCGACAGCCAAGCACCTGCGTCACCCTCCTCGGGTGCCTCACACTCAGTGGGGATCCTCACCTTCTCAGAAGTCCCACACTTTCCTCTGCCACTGTCCACTGTCCTGTACTTTCCTGACATCTCAGGGTGTGACGGGGTGCCCCAGAGAGGAGGCCTCACAGCAGACAGTCCCTATGCCCTGGATTTTCTCCCTTTATCTGGGGAGCTGAGCTGCCCTGACCTCCTGCATCACTAGATCCCATCTCATGAGGCCACAAGTCAGTTCTGCCCTCTGAACTCTCTGGAAGGGGCTCCTAGCAATTCCCAGAAGTTGGCACTAGCTGGTTCTCAAAGCATCACCAAGCATTGATTATGGGCACCCTGACTACACTCAGGAGCCACACACAGGGCAGGAACCCCGCATTCCTGCCACCCTCTAACCCGCCACCTGCAATGCCCTGTGACCACACTGCAAGTCTGCAAGCTGCTCGGCTCCCCAGGGGTGGGGCATGCTCACACACGCACAGACACACACGCACACATGCACGGACACATGTACAGACACACGCACATGTGTACACACATATACACACATGCACATGTGTACACACACATACACATGCACGGACACATGTACAGACACACGCACATGTGTACACACACATACACACATGCACATGTGTACACACACATACACATGCACGGACACACACACACATGCACGGACACATGTACAGACACACGCACATGTGTACACACATATACACACATGCACATGTGTACACACATGCACACATGCACG